TTCATTTTGTTCATTGTAGAGTCGGGTTCACGTGAGACCAGTCTGTTTTCGTGAGACCATTTATTTACATTTGAACCTTCACAGCAAAACGTTGTGAAGGTAAAAAAAGACAAACCTTCACAACAAAAACATTGTGAAGGTTACCTTCACATTGTTTTGCTGTGAAGTTTCAATTATAAAAAAGTGGTCTCATGGATCTCACGAAAACAGGTTGGCCTCACGTGATCCCAAGTTGTTCATTGTATAAACTAACATAAATGATGAATCATAACTGAAATTAAAAAAAAAATAGTAGGAGAAAAATGTTAATTACTGCTACAACAAAATTATATTTATAGGACATCTAAATATCTGAACATTCTAATATGACACTTTATAAGACTTAAGTTTATATGAACAAAAAAAGGTTACATCTAAAAGCGTTACAATAAGTTTATATGACGTTTTATGGCTTCTGAACAAGTTTTTAAGACGTTTTTAAAGTAAAGTGTTGTATTAGCTATTTTATATAACAATGTCTGAAAAATCTCCTATAAAAAGATGGGTTTATAGAACACTTTTCAAAAGTATCATAACGAAATAGTTAATTCAATGCTTTTATTTAAAAAATATCCTAATTTTTTTTTTCTTAAAACAATATCAATATCATTTCTATTTGGGCAATTGCATTAAAAAAGCAACGTAATTTAACTTGATTCTTATTTTGGGTAACATATTTTCAGAACTTCTATTTTGATAGCTAAGATGTAAATTTTTAAACATTTAAGTACCCAGGTAACCGGTTGAAGTATTAACCGGTTATCATGTTGATGTAGCGAGTGATGTAATATTTAACTCAGTATTAACCGGATACTACATCACTCACCACATCAACATGGTAACCAGTTAATTCTTCAACCGGTTACCCTTGTACTTAAATATTTAGAAATTTACATCTTAGGTATTAAAAATAAAAATTTTGAAAATACATTACCCAAAATAAGAATTAAGTTAAAATACATTACTTTTTCATGCAATTTGTCATTTCTATCTAAATAAATATTTAAAAATTAAAATAATAGTAAAATTATTTGACTTTAAAATGAGGTAAAGTTGATGGATTATCCACCAAACATTAAAGTCTCAAATTCTAGAAGAATTCTTCATTTCTTCAAACTCATCATGGAACCTTCTAAGTTCAATGAATATTCTAATAACTGTTTTATTTGGTATTTTTAATCCAATTAATTTACTTTATTTTATTATTAATTATAATTTGTTTATTTATTAAAATTAGCATTCAACTGATATAGACAAAGTAATATTCCTGATTATTCGTACCAGATATTTTCAGTTTTATCCACAGCCGAATTCACAGTTTCAAAACAAATCAGATAGAGAAGATGTTCAGTCTCTTATAAAATAACATTTGTTCTCCTCCCAACCAATGTAGAATCTTATGTACAAATCTAGCACATAAAATGAAAGTCATTTGTTTTGCAGTTTAAAAAGGTAAAAATATTATTATTTTTATTATATTTTCTAAATAAATGATTATAATAATTAATTTATTAATTAACAGAAAATCATTAATTTGAAAGAAATTAGAGCAGCAGCCAATTGGAAGTCAACAACAGAAGCTTCTTCAAAATTCCCTTTGCTTGTTCCAGCTGCCTACCTTCATACCACCATCTATATAAAAATTAAATATGAAATAAAAATATTATCTATTTTAATATATTTATTAAAGATTATAAGGGTAAATTGCATGGAAAAAAAAAACGTATTTTAACTTGAATTATATTTTTGGTAACATATTTTCAAAACTTATATTTTGGTATATAAGGTGTAAGGTTTTAAACATTTAAATACCCGGATAACCGGTTTGAAACATTAACCGGTTATCATGTTGATGTGACGATTGATCTGGTATCCAACTCAGTATTATATGCTAACGCGGTTAGTTGACATCGATTTTTTTTAATTTAAAATTAGTATTCAACCGGTTATCCGGTTATTTAAATGTTTAAAGCTTTACATCATAGGTACCAAAATGGAAGTTTTGAAAGTGCGTTACCAAAATAGGAATCAAGTTAAAGTACGTTATTTTTTTCATGTATTTTGCCCAAATTATAATTATGAAATAATCAGATACTTCGGTTTATTTTGATATGAATAAGACAAAGATATACAATATCATGTTTTTTATACTGTATATCAATCAATTACAACTGATAATTAAATTTCTATACTGTGTATCAATCCACTGTATTTGATACCAATTTTCTTCTGTTGGTACATGTCACCATATTATACCAAACTTACAAAAGTTAAAGTTACATATTTATTTTAGGGTAAATTGTATGAAAAAGTAACGTACTTTAACTTGATTCCTATTTTGGGTAATGTACTTTCAAAACTTCCATTTTGATACCTAGAACGTAATGTTTAAAACATTTAAGTACCCGGGTAACCGGTTGAAGACTAATTTTAGATTTAAAAAAATTATGTCACTAACCACGTCAGCAAATAATTCTAAGTTGGATATCACATCATTCGTCACATGAGCATGATAACTAGTTAATGCTTCAACCGGTTATCCGGGTACTTAAATGCTTAGAACTTTACATCTTGTGTACCAAAATGTAAGTTTTGACAGTACGTTACCAAAAATAGGAATCAAGTTAAAGTACCACATTAGCATGATAACTGGTTAATGCTTCAACCGGTTATTCGGGGATTTAAATATTTAAAACTTACTTATTAGGTATCAAAATGAAAGTTTTGGAAGTACATTACCCGAAAAATGAATCAAGTTAAAATGCGTTACTTTTTTTATTTAATTAATTATTTTTATAAAACATATGAAAAAGACAAAATATTTGCATAAATTTCATAAAAACTAAGTTTCTGGGCCAATAATTTTCATGGTACTACACCTTCATCAATGATTTTTCCATGTTTGTGTGAGAAGGAATCTTGTTCGTACACGTGTATGATGAAATCCTGTTGGTACACGTGTCAGCAGCTAATAATCATATTCTTTATCGTTGGAAAATTTACCAAAATAACCAATTTCTTTGATTAAATTAATTTTTAAAATATTTTTTAATTAAAATTTTATTTTAGATAAAGTTTACGTAAATGTGTATTTACATGAACTTGATCACCCTTTGCATAAAAGAATTGTGTAAAATTACCATATACATAAAGAATTGGATTGAAAAAGTAACGTACTTTAACTTGATTTCTATTTTGGAAACGTAATTTTAAACATTTAAGTACCTGAGTAAACGGTTGAAGTATCAACTAGTTACCATGTTGATATGGCGAGTGATGTGGTATCCGGTTAATGTTTCAACAAATAATATTGAGTTGGATACCACATCACTCGCCGCATCAACATGGTAACTGGTTAATGCTTCAATTAGTTACCCGTGTACTTAAATGTTTAAAATTTTACACCTTAGATACCAAAATGAAAGCTTTGAAAGTACGTTACCTAAAATATGAATCAAGTTAAAGTACATTACTTTCTCAACCACATGTAAATTCGGTTTTAAAAATGGCAAAAAGTGAATTTTGTTGGAAAGATTAGTTATTTTGGTCAATTTCCTAATTATTTTAACTTGTTAAGGATTGGTAAAAAAAAATTCAAAATGGATCAAAATACGCTTGCATTTATAACAAATCCTTATACCAGTCTTTTCTGTGTAACACTTCATACCAAATATTGTCTGCTTTGTTCACATCTGGACTCACGATTTTAAAACACATATAATAAAAAAGGTATCTAATTCCTTATACGGCAACATTTGTTTACCTCCCCAACCGATGTGGGATCTTACAATCCATCATGTTGAGAGCCCACCATCCTTGTTGGCGCCCGTCTGATTCCGACTTTGATACCATTTGTAACATTTCAGATCTACCATATTAGATTTGTCCGTTTTATTTACATCAAAACTGACGATTTTAAAATACGTCTGATAAAAATATATCTGAATTTTTATAAGACAACATTTGTTTTCCTCTTTGTCAGTATTCTGGTACTCTCAATCTGATCCAAAATCAATTAACTAAAAGTTTGTATGCACATGTAATCTCAACCACAAGAATTCATCCAAAAAGTTATGAGGTGTTTCACTCATGAAACAAAAATTAAGTGCTAAGTGGACACGTGTATGGACATGATAGCTTCTTGTTGCTCGTGCCCAATTAATTACATTTATACCCTCGGATTCACCACCCAACAACTCAACTCAATCAATCGTCTTTCGCTTCGTGTCCGAAGACACATGAACCGTCGTTATCTTTGTGACCCACCACCATTAATACCTTCATCTCCGCCGATTGCGACGGCTCTGACCGGTGGTCAACCCATGGTCACGGTGAGTGGGTGTTTAACCGTGGCAAACCGATGACGGCGATGGTGGTTGGAGGTTTCTTGGTGGGAACACAGAGGTTTAGTCAATTTCAGACGTCCACAACAATTATGGTAATAGAATTTATCAGGGTTTTACAGGGAACGAGATGTTAATCCCCGTATCCACCGGGAACCAAGGCCGAGAGCTATTACTAAAAACCGGGGCCGAGGCGGGGGATTACAAAACCCGCCCCATCCCCATCCCATTGCCATGCCTAATCTTATAACATCTGATGACATGAATGTCAGATTTATCCTCCACTTTGCGGTAAACCTTTCGTAAACAAACATTTTTGTTATCAAATGTTACAAGTTTAGAAGGTTACCGATCAAAATAGGGACAAAACAGACACAAAATAGAAAAAGTTAAAACTTCGTTACAATTTGATACGTTTTATCTATAAATTTGATATAGATGTTACTTTTTTTTAACCATAGGTGTCCGAATAAGCTTGCACACACCTCGACTAACCCAAAGGCCTTAGGGAACAGTTAGGAAAATCCCCAGTTATCTTGCAGGGCTCGAACGAATGACCTCTGAAGAGGGTATGCAAAGGCTCAAGTCTTATTCTCAGTTGAACTAACGGGATCAGGGTTAGTGAAAGATGCAACACCTTAATTACACACTAATAATATATACCCTATAATTTACATTACATGTTACACATAGCCTTCTATTCAAAACTTGCATAGCAAGGCTATATTGGTAATTTCACAAATAAACAAACCAAAACACAACCCTACTCTCTATAACTATGCTTCATCCTCTCACTCAAATGGTCCATTTTATCCTTTACCCGGCCCGGCAACTCACCAGGGCCCGTTGACTCGCACCCTTCCGACCGTCGCCTTTGAATCTCGTCATGATACATTGGGTGAAACCGTGTTTGAAAAGCCCGATAAAGAAAATACGGTAAAAGGGTCGACGCGACCACCAAAAAGGTGGTCATCCAATAAAACGGGCTCGGAGCACATGCGTCTACAAAAACCCGATAAGCGGTTTTGGACCATTCGGGCTTTAGGTACCCGTAAAGGACTAAAAATACGTACCAAAAGAAGATACTACCCCAAATGAAGAAATGCTGAATCCAAGTGAAGTAGTTGATTGAAAGTGCCATCTGGCAATTGACGGCCCATATTACGCACGTGTACATTATGACACCAAGGATTTCGTAGTCGACGACGTGGCCGTCTTCACGGAAAGCCTGGTGGATTGTCGAGTTTTTGCAGATGAAGAAGATGATCATGGAGCTAAGAAGTCCGTTGAACATCCACCCGAGAATTCTTGGCCAGTTGAAGAGAATGTTTTGCACTCCTTCTTGGTACAGTAACGGGTACTGCGAAATTGAGATCGAGGGTCAAGATCGTTTTATTAGAGTATAGGAAGACGTAATGCCGATTGTCTAGGTACAAACTTTTCCCTTTGTTCTTTAAAACTTGAAACAAACTATCAGCTAGTTTTCATCTGACATGACTAGCACAGCTAGTTTATCAACCAACAACTAACTTATCAGCCAACATATTCTTTAAAATGGAGAAAATAAGGATTTTGGAGTTTTTATCCGCTTTTTTAATTCAACAGATTGTCCAAAACAGAGAAAGTAGGAGAAAGATTATGAAGATCTCCAAATTTGGATTAATTCAAAATTAAATATCGAAGAGAAACTTGTTTTTTATTGTTTCCACCATCGAAGTTGAACCTGTTATCATTTTATATAAGAGTAAATTACGTTTTTCGTCTCTGTGCTTTGTTAAAATTGCGACTTTCACTTCTATGGTTGTGAAATTACTGTTTTCATCTTTATAGTTTGCAATTCATTGCTATTTTCGTCCTGATATTAACTCCTACCTTTAAGTATGAGGGATGAAAACAAAAAAAGAATCGTAAACCATAGGGACGAAAACAACAAAAAATTGTATATCATAGGGACGGAAAAACAATAAATCATAAACCATAAGAATGAAAATCATAATTTCAAAAGCACAAATGAAAATAACAATTTCTAAACCACAGGTATGAAACCATAATTTACTCTATAGTTAATGTTGATATCTCTAGAGTGGAGAAACTGTTAGAGTTGAATGTAATGTTTTTTTGGAGATTTGAACTTTTATTATCCATTTTGAAGAAATTATGGAGAATCTTGTTCAACTGTTTTGCTGAACATAGCCTAATATTTAATGCAAATAGACGTAAATATTTTTAATGAATAATATTTTTTATTGAAAACGCGATAAGTAGATCGATAAGATATTTACCTTTAGACAGAGCCGTGCAGAGACATCCTGATCGAAAACACCAAGAGCAATAACAGGAAGGGAAGTGAAGAAAACATTGTAAAACGACATGTACCAATCGTTGTAAGCCGGTTGCCCAGAAAAGGAAGCATGGGCTTCGAACCAAAAAAGCGTGAACCCGAAAGCGATGTTTTTGTAGAAGAAGTAGCATATCTGTAGTTCAAAAAACAAAATGTCGTCAAATTTCTAATCCAGACTCGGACACTTTCGCATCAGTATATGTTGGTTGGTCTTCTCAATGGCTCTAATCTAATGAGGTTCCACATATTCTCACATGGTATCAGAGCCAAGGTCTACCATCTAGGACATCTTTGTCCATCTAGCTTCTACTGAAGGGGGAGGTGTTAGAGTCTCACATTGACTAGACTTAAAAACACTTTCTTTTCAATATATGTTGGAACCCCATTCTCTACCAAGGGCTCTTTCAGAGAGTAATCTAATGAGGTTTCAGATAACATCCAGACCACTGTACTAGATATTGACCGCTTTGTCCACACCTGGACTCACGGTTTTAAAACGCGTCTGATGTAGGAGGTATTGAGTCCCTCATAAGGCAACCTTAGTTCCCCTCCCGTGCCAATGTGGGATCTTACATCCACCCCCTAGATAGGGGATGGGAACTAATGTTGTCTTATAGAGGATTAGATACCTTCTCTATCAGATACATTTTAAAACTGTGAGTCCAGGTGTAAACAAAGCGGACAATATCTGGTATGGTTGCCTGGGTTGTTACAAGTGGTATCAGAGCCAACAACTGGACTAAGCGAGGACATTAGGCTTCCAAAAGGGGTATATTATAAGATCCCACATCAGTTGGGGAGAGAAACTAAGGTTGCCTTATAAGGGACTAGATACCTCCTATATCAGACGAGTTTTAAAACTGTGGGTCCAAGTCAGGACAGAGCAGACAATATATGGTACTATTGGCCTGGGATGTTACCTTTCACATATTCTCACACAAACTAAACCAAACAAACCCAGTATATCCTACATGGAAGTAGGTTCTGGGAGGGGTAGGATGTACGTAGACCTCTGTCTCAAGAGACAGAAACGGTTTCCGAGAAGACCCCATGTGAAATACATTCTCTATATATACAAAACTATCTCCACAAATGCTTATTTATTACGCTAAATATTTCGAGTAAAGAAACCTACCATCATAGCTATTCGCCTGTAACACCAATGTCCATGCACCAACAACAATCGTTCAAGAAAACGAAATTGAGCTATTGCAAAATCACTCGCCATCACAGCCTGTAGTTCATAAAGAAAGAACATGATCATCGGGTTAACTCTTTTATTTCTGATTTCAGTTCGAAATCCCCAAATTTGTTACTGAAGAAAACATAAATCAGAAAATGAAAGCAAGCAATAGAAGCAAATTGACCTGCATTCCTTCTGCACCACTAATTCCTACTCCAATATCAGCTTCTTGAAGCATCCCAACGTCATTTGCCCCATCCCCGATTGCTAGTGTCGTCTTTCTTGTTCCTTCCTTTACCATCTTAGTAACCTGAATGTGTTAAAAGGTTCGGTCATAAATTGGGTAAGCGCTAAACGGGCAACAGACTGCAGTCTGGGTAAGAGGTTTGGTCAGGGCCGTCCACCAAAGGTCTGTTTGTTAGCAGCTTAATGAGCTTAATGAGTCACTGCTTATTGGGTTAGCTATACATGACTGTTTGATAATGGCTTAATAATATAGAAAGTGGCTTGTTCAGTAAGCTTCTGGGGGGGATTTTTACGCGGAAAGCCAAGTTTTTCCAAACTTTCCCCTCCCAATTAAAAAACATGGTCCTTCCATCTATGAAAAAACCCTTCCAAACAAAAACCTTATCAATCTATACGGACAGATTAATCCACACAGACAGCTTTATCCATACAGGACTTTGAAAAAACAACCAAACAACCCCCAAGTGATTACCGATAAAATACCGTTATCATCTTGTGCTGATCTATTAAGTGAAATTAATAATGCTGATCGGGTATGTGTTCGATTAGTACCATTATCTTAGGTCAATCTTTAGGTAAACTAGTTGATGCTGACCGAGTTAGCACCGGTCAAGAGTAGGCAGACATGCCTCGGTTTACATTTAAATGAGATCACTTGAAAAGAATGTAAAAATTGAACAAAAGATAAGAAGAAAATACTTACAAGAGCTTTTTGTTTAGGGGAAGAGCGGCAGCAAATGACCGATGAGCAATCAATCGCAACTTCCAAAAATGAGTTTTCAAGATTTTTCTCGAGAGCAAAAGTTAACGATCGACCGTCAATTATCAAAGCAAACAAGACGGAGCTACTTTTAGCTAGATCAAGTTGTGATCTTCCTTCTCTCAATTGCTTCTCTATGCTTTCCCTAGATGCCTACAAAAGATCAAATTTCTAAAAATTTCATCTCGTGAACCAGACCATATATGGGTGCATTTGATAGACAGGTGGTACTAGACAGAATTGGACGACCAAGAGTAAGCTAGATGGGTGAAAGAATTTTGGAAGGTTTTAAGGTTGATTTGACATGGGTTAGTTTATAATTTACCAATCTTGTCCTATCTCCCTGACAGAAAAAACGCATTTTTGTCTCAAGGGTTAATTGACATGGGTATTTTAGTAATTTAATCAATCTTGTCTCATCTCCTCAGACAGAAAAAATGCATTTTTGTCTCGAAGGTTAATTTGACATAGGTAGTTTAGTAATTTACCAAGCTTGTCCCACCTCCCTGACGGAAAAATGCATTTTTTCTCAAAGGTTGATTTGACATGGGTAGTTTAGTAATTTACCAATCTTATCTCATCTCCCTATCTTTTATTCCACCTATTTTGGTGAGACAGCAAAAATGCATTTTGTCTCACTCAGTGCCCGTCTTGTCCCAGTCTAATGTCGTTATGACACAAGTTTTTGTATTGTCTTTTCCCGTGTACCAATGCACTGGTCAACTTTTGTAACAAAAGCCAAGAAACTCTACCTTGGCAACGGCCTCCCGATCATTTAGCTTTTCTAAGGCACTAATATCGGGAGAATCTAACGTGATCACAATTTGCTTCATTCCCTGAACAAGCAAACTACAAGCATACCTGTAGACGTCAAAGTGTCAAAATTCATGTGTCAAAAAATTTCTAGCACCAATCTTGTTGTTAGGATACGTTAACCCTTTGAATTCTCTCTAAAAGAGCCTCTATAGACTGACGAGAGGTTCCTTCATATATAAATGTTTGATTTACGTGTCTAGCCCATGTGGGACTCCGACACCTATCAAAACCTCATTGAAGTAAATTAAGCTTGTAAACTTACCCTATATTTATCGCGGTCTCCATCTTATCGCCGGTTAAGACCCAAATCTTAATCCCGGCATGTGAAAGTTTCTCTATGCATTCAGGAACCTAAAACCAACATAATATTGTTGTGTTAGACAAACCAAACTAAACAAGCCCCGTATGTCCCACCTAGAGGTAGGGTCGGAGAGGGAAGAATTAGGCAAAGCTGGCCTCTACTCCGAAGAGTGGGCCCACCCGAAGGTAGGGCCTTTAAAGGTAAGATGTAAGCAAGCATGACCTCATCCCTGAAGAGTGGACCCATCAGGAAGGAGGGTCTAGGGGGTTAAGATATACGCAGACCTGACCTCTAACCCAAAGAGTATCGCGATCATTTTCGTGAATGTTGTGTTAAATAAACCAAGCTAAACGAGTCTTGTATGTCCCACCCAGAGGTAGGGTCGGATGGGAAGCTATATGCAAACCTGAACTCTACCCCAAAGAGTAGGCCCATCCAAAGGTAGGGTCTGGGGAGGTAAGATGTACGAAGACGTGACCTCTCCCCCGAAAAGTGGGCCCACCCAGATGTAGGGTCTGGGGGGTTAAGATGTACGTAGACCTGACCTCTACCCCAAAGAGTAGAGTGGAGTTTCCGTGAATGTTGTGTTAGATAAACCAAGCTAAACGAGCCCCGTATGTCCCACCCAGAGGTAGGGTCGGAGGGGAAGATTTACGCAGACCTGATCTCTACCCCGAAGAGTGGGCCCATGAGGTTAGGGGAGGTAAGATGCACGAAGACGTGACCTCTACCCTGAAAAGTGGGCCCACCCGGACATAGGGTCTAGGTGGTTAAGATGTACGTAGACCTGACCTCTACCCAAAGAGCAGAGCAGTCATTTCCATGAATGTTGTGTTAGATAATGGTCATAAGCCATAAGATTTGTTGGGTTCTAGCATACCAAGACAGTATTACAGCAAGGGAATGACTTTTTAAGCTCACCCCCTTTTGAAGTTTGTCCTCAACGGCTGTAGCACCGAGTAAAATCAAGTCCCGCTCGATCTTCTCGGCAGCAGCGTCTACCAAATCGTCACGATCAACCGAGACGGAATTTTTGGCTTTTAAGAACTCTTTTTCCCATGCCTTATACTCGTTTTCATCAAGAGGGCGATATGCAATTACCAAAGTCCGTAAACCTGCTTCTGCATACTTGTTGATATGATTCTTTGTTTGATCTTCATATGGTTGACTATCTTTCGAGAGTCTTTCAAACATGACACTGGATGCACCCAAAAAACAAATGTAAATGAAGAGTTCTTTTTTGAACTGTTAATGCTCATATTTTTCGGCGTTCAATACTCCCGTAAATAATGTGCCAAGAAGAGAGCAACCTGTCGGCACCCTTGCAAAGTAATAACAACTGGTTTTCCGCATTTCTAATGATCACCGACATCCTCTTGCGAGCACTGCTGAATTCTATCATGTTAAGGAGCTCGTATGATCTGAAAATAGCAAAAATGTTAGAAGGAATAAATCCAATATTCTTGTTTTAAGTAACTAAACAAACACCAAAAATCTCACACAAAGGTAGAGTTTGGGGGTAGGAAATATTTCCTGTTTGTTAGCAGCTTAATGAGCTTAATGGGACTCACAGCTTATTCAGTCAGCTATACATGACTATTTGGTAGTGGCTTAATGATATAGAAAGTGGCTTATTCAGTAAGCTTTTAGGGGGAGCTTTAGGCAAAAAGATAGGTTTTTTTTTTCCAAATCCGCCCCTTCTAATTAAAAAACACGCTCCTTCCATCTATGAAAAAACCCTCCCAAACAAAAACATTCTCAATCTATATAGACAGATTAATCTATACAGACAACTTTATCCATACAGGACTTAATGGAAATCCAACCAAACAGCCCCTCAGACCTTTTGATCCCCGAAAGGATAGAGAGGTTGTTTCGGTGAAGAAAACCGTTTCACTTTTAAGTGGAAATAGTTATTGCAAAAAAGAAATCAATCCAAAGAAATATGACCAGTCATCATTAAAACTTTAAAGGGGTTTCAACCTCCAATTCTATCATTTAGAGGTCCATTTCTGTTGATCTAAGAAACTCAGAATAAAGATCTGTTGTCTCGGAATTCCTTGTCCCCTCCCTGTCCCACCAATCAAGTGAATACCCATCAGATTTTTATTTAATATAGCTTTATGTAATTCATGTTCACATTCTCCCTCTAATGATGTGTATTCATGTGATTGGTGGACAAGAATGAGGCATGAAATCTTGGGACAACAGAATTCCACCCGGAGATGCTCAATGAGATTTACTCAAAAATTTCCTGTACAAAGTATTTGAATTTCAGTTTTCTAGTTAGAAGCTTACATTCAAATGAGAACCACATGTATTGAGAAACAGAGAACTAGCTGTCCATGGATTATTCATGATTAATATTGCAATAGATATACATGATAAATATCATGAATAATGAAAATCATGAAATATTAAGTTCCCATGTTCTTAACATATTTACAGTTCTCACTGGAACTTTCCCCTATAGTGAATATGTATATACACGGTCAGGTTCAGGGCAAAACCGCAAAAAATGGAAAACTTGGAACACCCTGGTGACCATTCATCTGGACATTATGCACATGTGCATACAAGTAATTTGTAAACAATTTGTCCGGTATGCACATGTGCATAAAAACCAAGAAATAACGTCAATTACTTGTATGCATGTGTGCATACTATACAGATGAATGATTACCAGGGTGTTCCTTAGTTTTTCATTTTTTGGGGGTTTCCCCTGAACCTCTCTCCCTCTCTCTCCTATGTGTGTGTGTGTGTGTGCAAATATGCAAAAAGATATCTCACCTGTCGATCTTAACGCCACTCTCACATTCATGCAAGGAGATGCTTGTTTGCGTCCTTTCAAAGAACTCGAAACCATGTTCCCTCGCTGCTATAACAAAGGCAGCTTCATCTGGTGATTCAGCTTCATATGAAAGTTCACCCGTGTGCTTATCAACATCAGGTATGGCCGTATGGCAGATGGCTAAAACCCGAAAGAATTTCTGTATGATATCTGAATGAGGTTCATTAGCCCATTCCCCATCCATAATCCGCTCATCCCTGAAGTTGAAACCTTTAATCGACTTGCCGGAGTTCCCAATGCCGCCATGGCTGCCAGAACTGTTTGAGGAGGTATTACCAACATCAGGCTGTTCAATGTTCTTTCTCCGTGCCAAAGCCAATTCCACCTCCGTCATCCCACGACCATATGCAACACCAGCTATCGAGCATTTAACGAACTCCATCGAGTTGCATGTTAAAGTCCCAGTTTTGTCGGAAAGAATCGTATCAACCTGGCCGAGTTCTTCGTTCAAATTCGACGTTCGAGCACGCGCTGGCCGGTTCGTTTCTTCATGGTACATATCCTGATCTTGATTTATGAATATGCTCTGCAACACCTTCACCATTTCAATGGAAACATATAATGATATCGGGATTAAATAGCCATACAACATAAGTCCCGTCAAGAAATGCAAAAACGCAGCTAGCACGGGTCTTTTGGGATCATAAAGAGCAGTTGTGCGGCTTGGTTCAAGATACCATCTTCCATAACTTCCATGGTTCAAGTCCCGATTAGTTCTTAACCCGAAAAAGATGGATCCGATAAAAGATATCGAAATCAAAGTGCTGAAAAGGATGTATATTATCTTATCCATTCTCCTTTCAATCTTACTTCTTTTAGAAGGAGGATCGGTGGCATTCTGCATGACTTTAGTATCATGGCCCGTGAAAATGACCGCTCCATAAATATATTCGGTGTTTCTTAGTTTTGAATCTCTTAACAAAATCTGCTGAAGAGAAAGCGGATGTTGCTGACTGTTGTAACACAAACTCCCAACAAAAGAGTAAAGATCTTCGTTCGGATCTTCACACTTAACGACTGCTTTAAATTTGTGAAAGGAGTCGTCATCGTGAAAAGAAGTTGTGACATCAAATGCATGTTTTAACTTCAAATTAGTTTCTCCATCGAGATTCATGGTTTCAACATAACAAATCCCATCTGGGTAGCTTGACGAGAGGAGAAGAAGATCCGCGGGAAAATATTCGTCTTTGTAGACTTTAACAAGATCACCAACACGCAAATCTTTCCATTTGCTTTGTGAAAATGAGCGATCTTTGTAAACATGGATCTTTCGATTGTTGGCCTTTATGTCCTGAAACCAATTAAAGATCGACCAAATGCAACTTTGAGAAAGTAATTTAGACCACTTGACCGAAAACCGAGCATGGCATACATTATCCACCAACAAACACAAAACATAAACTCGCAATTTTAAAAAAGTGAGATTCTTCTTTTTGTATCAAAGCAATGTAGAATCCAACTCCTTGTTTAATGGCCCGTTTGTTAACAGCTTAATGAGCTTAATGGTACTCACAGCTTATCCAGTCAGCTTATTCAGTAAGCTTTTAGAAGGGAGCTTTATGCAAAAAACCAAGATTTTTTCAAACATGCTCCTTCCATCTATGAAAAAACCCTCCCAAACAAAAACCTTCCCAATTTATACCGACAGATTTTTTCACACCAACAACTTTATCCATACAGGACTTAATGAAAAACCAACCAAACAGCCCCTTAAGTACATTATAGATCATAATTCTACTATTCATGTTTGGTTTTGTTTCTCTTGCTGGAGGGGGATATGCAGTAGAATGACATCAATTAATCCATATAAGATTACACACATGTATGTATATATATATACCGGTAGGAAGCTATGGAAACTCCTAAATTATACTAAACTATCCTATAATCAAGGATCACAATAATGTACAAATATGTTAAAATCATGTATCATAACTACAACAAGGGATTTTGTTAGCAGCTTAATGAGATTCATAGCTTATTCGCTCAGCTATAAATGACTGATTGGTAGTGGCTTAATGATATCGAAAATGGCTTATTCAGTAAGCTTTTAGGCAAAGCTTTGTGCAGAAAGTCAACTTTTTTCCAAACTTCTCCCTCCCAATTAAAAAACACGCTTTTTCCATCTATCAAAAGACCCTTCCAAACAAAAAACTTCAACATTGTATGAGAACATATTACCCATATTCGGGGACAAGGGGTGAAACGGGGACATATGGCTGGGCAGGACGGCTTTGCTTAAAACTGGAATGCTACCCCGCTCGAGCTCAATCTATACAAGACAGATTAATCCACACATACAACATTATCCATACATGACTTGGGCTGTTTGGTTGGTTTTCCATTAAGTCTTGAATGGATAAAGTTGTCTGTGTGAATTAATCTTGATGTATAGATTGGAAAAGTTTTTGTTTAGAAGGAATTTATCATAGATGGAATGAGCGTTTTTTTAATTGGGAGGGGCAGGTTTGGAAAATCTTGGCTTTTTGCATTAAGCTCCCTCCTTTGAACTTATTGAATAAGCCACTTTATATATCATTAAGCCACTACCAAACAGTCATGTATGGCTGACCGAATAAGCTGTAAACCCATTATGTTCATTAAGCTGCTAACAAACAATATGATTAGCATAAATTAAGGAAAAATTATAAACTTGTGAAACAATAACCAAGAAAAGCAAGTGTTTACCTGCTTTCTACGCCTCCAATCTTCCACACCTTCCTTTGCCATGGTTGCCCCAATCACCACCAGCAGAGGAAAAAGAATACTGGAAGCTCTAAAGGGTGCCAATGGACTAAATGAAACACAAGCTACAACTAGAAAGTAAATATTTGCAACCCTCCTAAACTGCTCAAACAATGATTTTGGAATGAAATTGACCGCCGTATACTTAGTCGTCGACACATAATTACTCCGATATCTCACCTGAAATCCCTCTGGATTATCGAAATCATTGCAATAAACAACTCTAGAGTAACCCCTTTGCCCGATTTGGCCATGTTCTTCACTTGTTGATGGCCGAAAACACGATAGAGAATAGATTTTGCTAAACTGTACCCTTTCGTGTCTACCAAACGCCATCTTTCCAATGTATATCCCCAATAAGAACCCTAATTAACCAAAATCTAGACCCCCCTTTCAAATTCCCAATTTCAAACAGCTAATACACACATTCCCACCAAAAGAATACACACTAAATTTCAACAAATATACAATAAATCAGCAAATACATTCATGAATACTGTAGAGATTTACAGATATCTGAAACTAATAAGTAACATTACGTTAACAAATTAACACCGAAATCATACCAAAATATACAGATCCACCTTAACCTGATCCAGACTATATACTCCACATCCAAAAACGGAAATCGCATCTAAGCTTTCAGTTTCAACTTTTAAGTTATGAATCGATACAAACTACTCGTTTGACGAGTTTAGAAAATCGAATTTGAACCTTTTTCAAGTCCAAATTGAGCTGCTGGTTATGGTTCAGAACCCTAGAAAAAGCAACCCAGAAGGAAACAGAGTATACAAAATTCCTTACTTTGGTCAGAAGTAGCAGAGATCTCTTACTTCCGCCATTAATTCAGAGGTTAATGTTGTATGTAGATATCATATGGATATATGCACATGAGTGTATATAATATATATATATATATATATATATATATATATATATATATATATACGTGTATAGAGGAGTAGTTAGCTTGCTGAGCTATTGCCGTTTCTACAAGCAAACAAACACAAAACGATATCATTTTTTACTTTATAAATTCGTTTTTTCAAGTTATATAATTATTTAAATATATTTTAAAAATAAATATATGTATATATATATATATGGTTGGGTTCACATGAGTCCAGTTTGTTTTCATGAGACCATTTTTTTTACACTTGAAACTTCACAGCAAAACCTTGTAAAAGTAAAAGAAGATCGAACATTCACAACAAAAACATTGTGAAAATTACATTTACAACATTTTGCTGTAAAGTTTCAAAAGGAAAAAAATAGTCTCACAAAAACATACTAGTTTCACATGATTCCATATATATATATATATATATAGGGTTGGGTTCACGTGAGACCAGCCTGTTTTCGTGAGACCCGTGAGACCACATTTTTACACGTAAACTTCACAGCAAAAACGCTGTGAAGGTTTAAAAAAAGTCGAACCTTCACAGCAAAAACACTGTGAAGGTTTTAAAAAGTTACCTTCACAACATTTTGCTGTGAAGTTTCAAGTGTAAAATGCTGGTCTCACGGGTCTCACGAAAACAGGCTGGTCTCACATGATCCCAAGTCTATATATATATATATATATAAGATTTTGTACTTAGCAATTAAGTACTCAAATTTTTATAATGTTAATAATTGTGCTTACTTTTTTTATTACATTATTGAAAATTATAATAAAATAATTAATGAATACTAATAATATTAATTAATGATTACTAATAATATTAATTAATGATTACTAATAATATTAATTTATGATTACTAATAATAGTTAGGTAATTTCATTAATTATTTAACTTTATTTGGTTGACTTGAGCATAGGAAATAGTATTACTAAGATAGTGTATTGTATGTAGATAAAACTGGATATGGAGGTAGAGGTGGTCTTGTAGTGATGGTGATTTGTCCGAACCCAGTGGGGAACCCGGCTCACCTGACTCACATTGGGACGAGGATCCCCGCTAAAACGGATTCCGAGGTCGGGGACGGGGATCGCGGTAGACTCAAACCGGGGTTGAGGCTAGGGCCCCCGGTATATAATTTTATTAATATATTTTATATAATATATGTATATATATGACCGGAGACGAGGATCGGGGTTTGACCAGAAAATAAACCAGGGACGGAATGTTAATCCCCGTACTCACCAAGGCCGAGGTCAGGGATTACAAAACCTGCCTCGTTGCCATGCCTAGTGGTGGTCGATGTGGTGATGGATAGTGGTGGGTAGTCGGTGGTGGCGATGGGAGGTTGTGACCATTAAACCAGATATTATATCAGGGTTGCATCATATTATAGTAGACTGGTAAGTTTTAAATTCTGTCTCATCCTTATTTCATTTTGTTCCACCTATTTTTCTCTCATATAGTCTATGTCCCTATCTCACGTCGCCTGAAACATGTAACACGGAGTTTTTGTCATGTTTCATGTTGTGCCAAATAGGGAAAATGGTCTAACAATAGTAAAATATTTTATGTAGAATAAAAAACAAATAACAAATAGTCAACAAAAACAATTAGAACAACATAACCAAGTAGCAATAATCAATAAAAGCAGAAATTGATAAAAATACCAGCAGAAATATATAGCAATAGCAAGCACATGATCTTAACGTTGAATTGTTGAAGCACGAAAACAATCAAACATATAGAGATAGCAATAGCCAATATCATTGGACCTTGTTGGAGATAAAAAAAAATTAGATAGGCAATAAAGAATAGCATATAATGAATGACCAATTAATTTTTTTTCCCTCTCAAATGTAATTAGTTGATATATTTTTGGGCTATTATTATCTACTAAATTCTTTTTGCCTCTTATTATATGCTACAATTTTTTGGATTTCTTTAATTTATTAAATTCTTTTAGAGTACTATTGTATTTTAAGAGAAAAATTTGGGTCCCTGATATTTTTGGCGAACGCCCTCCCCCTGGGACGGCCCTGGACGTTTCATATATGTAAATTGGAAAACAAAACCATTGATGAATGACAGATATAATTGATTGATAAAATACGTAATTGACGGAGTTCAGATTTGGATCTCCCTCGAACATAAAGTCAAGTTGGCACCTTTTGATGGGTTAGAAAAATATGTACCACTTGTCATAACTTTGTTTTTCGTTAACATATTTTTATAACGTAAATACAGTTATTATTTCTGCTTAACAAATCAGCTTATATCAAATATATATATATATATATATATATGTGTGTGTGTGTGTGTGTGTGTGTGTGTATTTGTTTATATTATATAGGATTGGGTTCCCGTAAGACAAAGTTGTTTTCGTGAGATACGATTTTTACATTTCATTTTGTTGTGAAAGTAAAAAAATGAATTTTCACAGCAAAGATACCGTGAAGGTTATCTTCATAGTGTTTTGCTATGAAATTTCAAATGTAAAAATCGTATCTCACGAAAACAGTTTTATCTCACAAAATCTTAAGGGTTGTTTGTTTACCTCTTAATAGTTACATTAAAAGTCAACATCTGAATCGTTAAGAGCTGAATCTTGTTTGGCAAAAAAAAGTCTACATCTTAATGGTTCTAAAACTCTCTGAATGATTTTGTATTATGTATCTCTCTTAACCATTAAGAGCCCTAATTTCATTGTACACAATTACCAAACAATTATATTTCATTTTGCACCATACCATGAGAGCCTCTTAATCATTCTGACCGCTTATTCATTCTGCACCAAACCATTCATCAATTGCCAAACAGCCCTTTAATTCTATATATAAAATTTAAATGAGTTTATTAGAAAAGTTATTGGAAAAAGAAAAAAGAAAAGTAAAAAAGGGAGTGAATGTGTGATGTATAAGGCCGTACAGATGCGTTCATGCAATGGAGAAGAAAAAGGTGTCTTCAGACAGAGATCGTCGCCTTTCAGTTTCTCGAAGTCAGCTAAAGAGATCGCCGCCGTACACGTGTCACACATCTCTCCGCTAAAAAAGGAACTATGTTACGTTCCACATATAAATGTGTTTATCGGCGTTGGTGTCGCCGTCGAAAATGCAATTAATATTGTAAAAAGCTTAAAATAAAACCATGTAAATTAATTAATTAATTAAAATATTTATAAAAATTAATATTTATTATAATTTTGATATTTATAGCATTTTCAACGGTTATGTTACAGATGTTTTTAGAAATCATTAATTATGATCAGCGTTTTATATTTGAAAACAATCGAGATATTTATGAAATCACATTAATTTGTAACGGTATATTGGCTTGTGTAATAAACTGTCTCCAATGTTGTATCAGTCTACAACACCATTTTAAAGATCATTTAGCCAAGTCATTTTAACATGTCATTTCATCAAGAGTAAATTGCATGAAAAAGTAACGTACTTTAACTTGATTCCTTTTTTAGGTAACATATTTTCAAAACTTTCATTTTGGTACATAAGATGTAAAATTTTAAACATTTAAGTAATCGGGTAATCGGTTGAAGCATTAATCGGTTGTCATGCTAATGTGATGAGTGATGTGGTATTCAACTCAGTATTATTTGCTGACGTGGTTAGTGACATGAATTTTTTTAATCTAAAATTAGTCTTTTTTAACATATAATGGTAGATCAAATGTTTATCAGTTAAATTTGATTGACAACTTGACATCTAAAACAACAAATGTTATAAAATCAGCAGGTGTATAATGTTTTTATAACGTTTATTTATTTGTATATTGAGTTATAGTTAAAGGTTATTTTGAAAAATGGTAGATATTTGAGAAGTAAAAAAGTGATCTCATTCCTTTATAGGGTCAAGATCAGCTTTGTTTGGTCAAAAATTGTGGCTATGTGAAAAATAGAGATGGTAGTTTTGTAACTTTTACAAATAAGCGGCAAATAAGTTCATATCCAAACTTATGTGATTCACATATGAACTAATTAACTGATTCATACATGAATCTGTGTGATTCACATATTAACTAATTAGCTGGTTCATATATGCATGAGTTAAATAGTTCAAATGTAAACTAATTAACGAGTTCAGAATATGAACATATAATTCATATCATATGTGTATCACATGGGTTCACATATGAATCCATTTACCGTATATTTGTAAAAATTATAAAACTACCCCTCTCTCTTCCATATACCCATACAAGAAATTATCCGGTATTTCACGATCAAAGCCGCAAATATTTGAGAAGTAAGGAAGTGATCTCAGCCTTTCATACGGTCAAGATCAAATTTGACTGGTCAAAAATTATGGCTATATGAAAAATAGATAAGGTAGTTTTGTAACTTTTACAAATAAGTGGCAAATGAGTTCATATATGAACTATTTTAACTGATTCACATATGAACTAATTAACTGATTCACACATGAAATCGTGTGATTCACATATTAACTACTTAACTCGTTCATATATGAATCAGTTAAATAGTTCAATTGTGAACTAATTAACGAGTTCACATATGAACTAATTAACGAGTTCACATATGAACATATAGCTCATACGTGTATCACATGGGTTAGTTATGAAATATTCCTCTATTTTCCGCATACCCATACAATAAATTATTCGGTATTTCACGATCAAAACCGCAAATATTGACCAGATAAAAAATTTGATTCACATTTTTACTTCTCAAATATCTATTATTGGAACTCCGTTATATATATATATATATATATATATGGGCTTAATCAAATGAGAACTGATTAGTTTGTGGTAACTGTGAGATCCAATCACAACCACAAATCAACGGATAAATTAGGAAATTAATAATTATGGTAGTTTAAGTTAAAATTATAATTAAAGGACATTTTAGGTATTTTTTAAAAAACTCATATCTCCTCTCTTCTCTCTCCTCTATCATCTCTCATCTCTCCGACCTCCAATCTCCGGGCTCCGGTG